TGATGTAATATGTAAGCTGTCTTCGGACAGCCTACCCGTTTGAACTAATAAAGTGCCAGGGGCCTAAGTGGTCACCTCAATATTAAAAAAAAAAAAAAAAACTAAATATTAATAGCCTAACTTTCATAATGCTTTATATATAACTAGAAGAGCCGGATTTAAATATTAGTAATTCACAATAAACAACAATGCTTAAATAAAATATAATGATAAGCAATACTTATTTGCAGATACAAAATATATTACTGTTAATCTTGCGATCTATATATAAAATCAAAGAACTCATTATTTACATACTATAGTTAAATTTAGATGCACATATGTATGTACATATATATATATATACCAACTGTTAAACAATATATAATCCAATTCCATTTAGATATATAAGCGATACATTAAAACATTAAGCCTTGTATACTATACTTACATATTGAATTTATATGTTACATTACAATTCATTTATTTAAGCAAACTAATAAGTATTAAACCTGCTATAATAAATTCAGCAATATGTACATAGTATATTATTTATTAGCTAATATTGATATGAGATGCCTTGCTGCTTATGCCATGCTTTGCAACTAGCTTTATTGTGTCCAGTATTTTGACACTGTTAATATTGAGTTGCTTTCCTAGTCTTTTGACTTACTGGATTTTAATTATTATTAAATATATTTTTGTTTTCTAATTCATGCAACTTTTTAAGCCTTTCTTTCCTTAAGGCACCTCTCTTTGAATAAACAATCAGGTTTTCAATTGCTATAATATCTTTCTCATCACTGGAACTATTAACTTCATTGTCATCTTCTAGTTGCCTTGTGTTCATTCTTTCTCTCTTTTTTGGTGCGTGTTTTGTGATAAATTTGTTTATAAAATTTTTGAGCTCTTGTATTGCACCGGAGCTAGCATCTAATCCTGTTTGGATTGCCTTTTTGGTTAATCCATTAACCATTATATATGCTCTTTGATAGTTAATTTTATTATGAACATCATTGTATGAATGTTTGGTAAACAAAAAGATGTACCAGAAAAGGATTGTTCAATATAAACTAAAGGATTCACTTTAATATTATCACCTAATCCAATAATAAAGAGTTACTGCTTTGTTTCTGATTTAGGTTCAATTTGCTTTTCGTTATTATATCATCTTTTTGATATAAGTATAATGTGAAACGTCGCATTATTAGACACTGTCATAACTTGAAAGAAGTGTCTATAGACAAAACTGCATTGGACTAAACCAAGATATGTGCATAAGTGTGAATTATTTCTAAATAACACTACATAATTTTTTGCTTTATGTCTGTACCAGACAACCTTTCAAATTTCAAGAATTGATGTAATATTTACAGATAACACTAGTTCTCTAAGTAAAATGGCTGGTACATCTATAGTATCTTCAATGAAAGTATTAAGGATCTCAGTTTTTTCTGGTTCAGTTAAATTAATAGAATCACACTGTTCATTTGAATTAACTTGTTCAATTGAATCATAATATAATTTCAAGTCTTGAAAATTCTCTACAAATCTTGAGATATACCACATAGTTTAAGCGATCTCCTGTCGTTACATAGATAAGGATGCTGGTATTAAATATGAGATAATCTATTGCTCAATTTCAGATGAAAACTCGAAACTGGCATTGGTAAGTGTAGATCCTGTAATGAAATGCATTCAATTTTTGTACTGAATAAAGGTAGATGCTCGATTAATTTGTTCATCTATATGTTTGACAAAAGTAATCAAGAATGTACTGCCATTTACTGAATTTTTGATAATAGTATTTTGGCCCTTAACACATTGAGTTAACTGTATTCTGGCAGTGAAAATTTTAGAAATATAACAAAGTGCCTATTGTTCTTTTTCATTAAAAAGTGTATGATTAAGATATAAGGCTGTTTAAAAAATTTTGTTAAGAGCTTATTCCATAAATAATTAAATTGTTGGTGCGAAAATGAATTACGTATTTAATACCAATCTTGGGAAAATTCATTATATCAATTACTAAGCTTGCCTTTCAAATTTTTAATTAAATTTTGCCCAATATGAAATATACAATGTATATGATGTGTACTAGATAATACATTAGTGATCGCAGCATTAATAGCAAGATTATTATCAGTTATGATTGTTAGAGGTGAAACATTAGTATTTGTAATTAGGGTTTGTAAAATCCATTTATAGCTTTCAGCTATTTTATCGTTTACAAGAGCCTGACCTACTAACCAGGACCAATTGTTATTATCAACAACTACAAAAAAGCCAAGAGCTATTTTAAAACGATTTGTGGAGTAAGTATTATCATACTGAATAACATCTTGGTATCGTACATATAAGTTATACTAGTCAGGTAATATTCAGAATAAAGAGGTAAACGAATTATTTGCAGGGTCGATCTTCCAATTTACAACCTATCTGGTGTCCTTGACTTTATATTTAAGAAAGTAATTAAGTAAAACAGCCACTTCATATTTAACATTATTTTGTTGTTTGAAAGATTGAATAGCATTTGAAAGGTCTTGAGATAAAAAAAAATGCATCAGGATATTGTTTGTCAACATTTGGTACTGGGTTCTTATATTTATATTCCCTATTTCTGTCCAAAACTTAATATCCTTTAACATATTTTCAAAAAATTCCTGATATTTTTCAGCAAACTTGTTTGTTTGATTTTCTATTAGATGATCGTTATGACTTAGGCAAAGATAATTAATGCTTAATATTTCTGTTGTCTTAGGACAACTAGCACAAACTTGCCAATAACATCCAGTACGTTTACTTCGTATTTGTCTCTGATTTTCAACAATACAAGTTTTGTTTTTTATAAAATTGTGACCCTGGTGCTCACATGCATATCATCGGCTTCTGCAAATGCTATTGTTATATTCTGATCTATGTATAATAGCAGCAAAATTCTGTGACTTTGTGTAAAGAGAGATTTATTAGTCTAATTCTTCCCAACTGCCAAATAGTTGACCCACTACTGGGGCATTTATGGTTTTAGCTGAGCTTTAATTACTTTATTTAAATAATGTCAAGTTATAGTTGTTTTACTTAAGTCAAAAAGAAAAAATCAAGAAATTTGACTTACCAGTCTACACTATTTGATAATTGTTCTTTGAAAGTTTCTGTGTTTTCATCCATTTTTATAAAAAATAGTTATAATCAAGCATCTCTATTTTTTTTAGAAATCACACAATACAAGAAAAGTCATATCTTGAATAGTAATAGCTATTGTGGTTTGTTTAACAATAATATAACCTTCTATCAACAACTTATAAGATATGCGTGAAATATCTTAATGCCTAATATATTATCATGCAAGAAGAAAAAAGAATTTAACCCATTACTCATCCATTTTTTAGAATCAAACAAAATAAAAAATAAAGTCACATTTCAGTTTGTTCAATTATAAAACTATCTTTATCAATAAATTTTAGAAGTCTTTAACACAAATACCGTATCACATATACATGATTATCCTTTTCTTAATGCCTAATATATCATTATACAAGAAGAAAAAAGAATTTAACTTATTACTTATCCTTTTTTTAGAATCAAGCAAAGTAAAAAATAAAGTCATATTTTAGTTTGTTTAATGATAAAACCATCTTTACTAATAAATTTCAAAAGTCTTCAATGCAAATACCATATCATATATACGTGATTATTCTTTTTTAACGCCTAATATATTATTATGCAAGAAGAAAAAAGAATTTAACCCATTACTTATCCTTTTTTTAGAATCAAGCAAAGTAAAAAATAAAGTCACATTTCAGTTTGTTCAATGATAAAACCATCTTTACCAATAAATTTCAAAAGTCTTCAACGCAAATACCATATCGTATACATGTGATTACCCTTTTCTTAATACCTAATATATTATTATACAAGAAGAAAAAAGAATTTAACTCGTTACTCATCATTTTTTTAGAATCAAGCAAAGTAAAAAATAAAGTCACATTTTAGTTTGTTCAATGATAAAACTATCTTTACCAATAAATTTCAGAAGTCTTCAATGCAAATACCGTATATATATGATTATTCTTTTCTTAATGCCTAATATGTTATTAAGAAAATTTTTTTTAGCTTGTTACTTATCTATTTTTTAGAGTCAAACAAGGAAAAAAAGCCACGTTTTAGTTTGTTTAATAATAAAACTCTCTTTACCAAGTCTTCAATACAAATACTGTGAGTTTAATGCAAAAAAAAAGTCTCATTTTAGTTTACCACCTCTACTAAATAATTTAAGAAAGCTTCAATGCAAATACTATATATACATAAGTATCCTTTCTTAACCGACTAATATATTATCATACAAGAAGAAAAAAATATAACCTATTACTTATCTATTTTTTAGAGTCAGTCAAAAAAAAAAAAGATGTTTTAGTTTGTTCAATGATAAAACCACCTTTATTAATAAATTTCAGAAGTTTTCAATAATGCCATATATACACAAGTATCTTTTCTTAACTGATTAATGTATTATCATACAAGAAGAAAAAAATATAACCTGTTACTTATCCATTTTTTAGAGTCAGTCAAAAAAAAAAAAGATGTTTCAGTTTGTTCAATAATAAAACCACCTTTACCAATAAATTTTAGAAGTCTTCAATACAAATGCCATATACACGTGAGTATCCTTTTCTTAATGCCTGATATATTATCATACAAAAAGAAAAAAATTTTAGCTTGTTACTCATCTACTTTAAGAGTCAAACAAGGTGAAAAAAATGTCTTGTCTTAAATAGTAGCATTATTTTATAGTTTTTTAATAATGAAACTATCTTTATCAATAAATTTAAGCCTCCAACATGAATACTATATATATATGAATATCCTTTTGTCAAATGCTCAATGTATTTTCATACAGGGAGATACAAGAAGAGTAAAAAGAGTTTAACCTATTTCTTTCATCATCTATATTTATGCTTTTTGCATGAATTTATAATAAACGTTATTTGTTTACTATACAAATATGTTAAATTTTAATCTCAGATGCATATAATCATTGCACAAGAAGTTAATCTATAAGAAAATCTTATCTGATTATCTGGAACCAGTATCCGAGTTATGATTGGCTATGCAGGTATACAAAATTTTTATATATCTAATAGGTACAATAATTTTTTTTTTTTTTTTGGTTTTAACGATAGCCACTTTATTACGTCTAAATAGTTAAGTATTTACATAGTAGTACAGCACTAGTCTATATATATTTCTATATATATCCCAGGTTCCTTCCTCCATGGTATTATAGTTCCTAGTACCATACCCTCCACTCATGCATAAAGCATCATATGGCTGCTCAAAGGTGCTCATGTGTAACTGTCTAACTACTAATTTACCTCCCCTTTGGCCTCTAACTTACTAGGAGATTACTTGCTAAATCAACAGAAGGCTGTACTCACCTATTTGCTGAGACACCTGTCCTATTCATATGCCTCACCCAGACTTCGGTAGTTTTATGCCACAGCTTAACCTATGCACTCGAGGTCAGGGCTAACCATTGAACCCCTTGTATTACCTACTTCTTGCCCTTATTAAGGTTCACAACAATTCTAATACCATATTTGGTACCATCTTCTTACCCAGATTTTTTATCGATCTCTCCCTTACTTCCAGCCGGCAACCTGGAAGGGTCGGTCTATCCAGGCTTTAGGTGCCCAAAGGATGCCCTCCTCTTGGTATATACTTTCGAAGCATATATCCTTTTTCTCTGGTGCGACAGAACCTGGCGATTTAGCTAGTGTGTCCTCCACTATTAGGACCTAGTTGTTCAGTTCTCTGATCTCGGGCCTCAGTTCGAATTCAGCCCTCATGTAGTACCATCATAGATCATCACTATTTCTTAATTTGGGACTTCCCAAATGGGTTTTTGGTTATTCCAGTTCTTCGGCTTTATTGCGCCATTGCTCCTATTACTAGATAGTGTAACTGAAGTTACAGATTTATCTAAGATCTAACCGATAATCATAACCATCAACCATAATGCAAGCTTATTTTTCAAAATTCATCGTCCATAGGATTCAAACTATAAATTTGCCACTTGGAGAGAGTGATGACTAGACCACTACACTAAATCACTACATCTCTATAGGTACAATAATATTAATTCATTTTGTTAAATTAATTAAATTATTAAATTATTATATTATAGGTTTTAGAAACATAATAAATAAACTAAATAATAGTAACACAGGTCGAACATAAAAATTTCGAACAAACTATCTTCTTTCTGATATTCCTATATTGATAGTTTAACAAGATATTACAATTGTATATATCTTGCAAAAATCTGCCGATACTTTAATTTTTTTTTGCAAGAAAATTTCATATAGATTTCGAACAGAGCAAATATCTAGAAGAAATTTAATTAATATTTTGGTTAGTCTATTGGAGAATTTTGGTAAGATTTTTTTAAATATTAGACAAGGCAAATATCTTGAAGAAAGTTAATTAATATTTTACTAAGAATTCTGATGAGGTATCATTTATCTTATATTACTATAAGATATTAGCTATTTAATATAGCTATATATAAATATATAAAGAATATTGGCTAACTAATACAACTATATATAAATGTATAAGAGATATTGATTAACCAATATAGCTATATATAAATATATAAAAAGTATTGGCTAACTAATATAGCTATATATCACAGATCAAACTTTAAAATTTTAGCAAAATTTCTGTAAGATATCAGTAAAAATATTAAATATTTATAAAGTTAATAGCCATCTGATATTTGAAACATATTGTGGCCTATCAGAATCGATATTTATCTGATAGGCCACAATATGTTCCAAATATCAGATGGCTATTAACTTTATAAACATTCAATATTTTACTAATATCTTACAAAAATTCTGCTAAATTTTAAAGTTTAACCTGTATAAAAATACAGATTGAATACAAAAATATTGGATAACATATTAGCTATTCGATATTAATATTTTCAAATTAAATACCAAGTTAGATAATTAAAGCTCCAATTGACTAATTAGCTTCAATTGACTGATTAAAGCTAGCTTCAATCAACTGATAAGCCTCCTATGAATTAAAGATATATAAAGATGTAATTTTAGATTATGAGAAGAAACAATTAAAAACAATTATTAATTGGGCTAGAGCAAAAGGAAGCAGAATGAAAAACCTATCTATAGACTAAGTTTAGGCGATGTCTGGCTCCTGCCCCTGTAATGAATACTGATTTGTTAACACACTACCCAAATCATGTTTGTTAAATTTCAATTTAAACATAATAAGAACAAAATCACGATATTTTCAAAGTTTATTATTATTATTATTTTTATTAGAATTTATTGAAAATTCTAAGTTGAATTACTTTCAATTCAAATATCTAAATACATTTACATTTAATTCAACTTTTTTTTTTTAATACTCATATAAAATTTAAATGCTACTACAGTAAAATATGTTTTTGCTACAACTGCTCCAAGTTTTTTTGCTTATTCAAAATCTTTAGTGTCATTCACTATTTTTTGAATAAATTTAAAGGTCAATTCAATGCTTCAAAGTTATTTTTTTTGTTTGGTAAAATTATTAGATTTTCAAAACAACAGAGCACCTAAAACATATAATATATTGAAAATATAGTGATAATAAAAAAAAAAATCTTTATACCTCATAAAAAGTTTTTTGATGCTTTCTAGATTCACAAGGTCAATTATTAAATTATCTTGTATATAATTAATAGTTTGGATTTACCCCTTTGTACTAAATTAAATACACTTTTAAAAATTAATATAAAATTAAAAAATATATATAAAAAAATATTTTTATATAAAAAAGACTTGTTATAAAGTATAGATTAGTTTTATATTATTTATTTTAATATTATTACTAAAAAAAATTTTTTTTATATATAGAGTTTTTAGTGTTTTGTTGTGTACTAAATCTAGTACATTTTTCGCCAAGATTTTTAATAGTAAATTTTATATGTTTCTGCGTAGCAAAAAATTCTCTTAAGAGAATTTTATTCCCTGTACAAAAATATTTTTAGCATTTTAAAAAACAAAGTTAAACTTATAAGCTTTTAGCTACAGCATCCCCAATACTTATAAAATTTTTAAAAAATATTAAAAAATATAGTTTTTTTAAAAAATTAATAGATA